ACCCCAAGTTGACTTTTGAACATGTTCTGACCGTCGTCTTCTGCACATTCCTTGGCGTGCAGAGACGGAGGTGTGCAATGCACAGGTGGCAAAATACAGACGGAGTACAAAAGGGGCAGATGACACAATAGGCCCCCAAAATGCCTGAAGGACACCCTAGGAACCTGACCCTGAATGGCCCCACGTTGGCAGGTTCTAGTTTCTCATGACACCAGCGAGCTCTTGGCTCAGAGCTGGCCTCAGCCTATTTTCCCTCCACCGCAGGTGGCTCCAGTTATCACTCTGCTGTAAAGAATGTAATCTGCTCTCCAACCGAGAGCAGAGGTGAATTGTGTTGTGCTCTTTCTTCTGTCATGAATAACATCTCCCAGCTGCTTGCTGTAATAGGCACTTCCAGCCTCCACCTCCTGGTCCCGCCAGCATCTCCTCAGTGTGTTGGGGGTGGGCTCAGGAAGGTAGAGGCCCTCCGGAGCGCTACGTCCATCCAGCAAGGTGACTTCCTGGACAATGCTATTTCTCGAGGAATCCATGGAGGATTGGCACCCCTGAAGCTGTGTCCGAGTGCCTGTCCCTGACGTGGAAGTGGGAGGGGTTCATGCTGGACCTACCGCTGAAGTGAGCAAGTGTGCGCCATGTTGGCAGTGAGTGACCATCAGAGAAGCCAATAACGATAAGAACCCATCCTCAGGATGAGCAGCTCCCTGCTGAGGACACCTCAGTGGGTCCCCACCACATGCAAAAGGAAGGGCAGACTCCTCTGCAGGGCTCTCTGGACCCTTCTCTAGCCTCCTCTCTTCCTGCAGGTCCACCTTCAACCTGGACCAACTGGCTTTTGGCACGTCCTGCATTTCCCACTCCCATCCCGTTTTCTTATTGTCCCATTTCAAAGCCCTCACCCTTCCTTTGAAGCCAAATCGCACCTCCTTTATCAAGAAATCTACCTGTATGTCCCCCATCTTAGCTTCAGAAGAAAATGACTCACAATCCCCTGTCGACTGGGCAGAACACAGGATGTGGATTCAGGCAAAGGCAAGCTTGAATCCAGGTCATGTGCCGTTAGAAAAGTGACTCCGCCTCGGCTTCTCGTTTTTTTTTAAATCTGTAAAATTGAGACAGATCATATGGAAGGAATGTGGTGCGTGTCACCCAGCATATGAGCAGTGCTCAGTGGTCTTTTCTTCCTTTAAATTCAGCCACGCTCAGTGCTTTTCAGTTGCAGTCTCATTGTGTGACTGCTGTGTACACATCTGAATTGGTCTTCTGTGTGACACAGAAGAATATCAACTTGTGGCGGAGGCCCGCTGTGACGTTCCCACGTAGCCCACACCGTCCTCCCTTATCTCCTTACTCTGCATTCACACCCCATGGTAACCATCATTCCCAGCCTAGTTCATCCGGCATTTCATTTTTCTCCAGATGCGAGTTTCCTAAGAGCAGGGACTTCCTCCGTGATGCTTGCTGCTGTGTGACCAGGACGCAGAATGCACAGGTCAAAGAGAAGGTGCTAGGCAATGTCTGACAAATCAGTGACAGATTTAATAAGCCCTTTAAAGCCAGTAATAATTTCCCAGCTGTTATGAAACTTGGAAGTTAGAGGGGACATTAAGATCCCTTTACTGATGTCAGAGCTCCCCAGAGGGCTGCATGCCCAGCAGAGCCCCTCCCTGCCGATGGGAAGTGCAGCTTCTTCTCACCCCAATAGTGCACAACCACGAAGGTCCCCTCACATGCAGCTGCTGTTCCCAAGGCTTAAATTCCTCCTCCTCTCCACCAGATGAACTTCCCCTGATCCCTGGATGCCCCATGTGGCATAATGGCAGGAGCAAGAGCTTTGGAGCCACACAGAGCGAGGTTGGATGCACTCATTAGCTGGTCCATCTTGGATGCCTCATCTGGCTGCTGGGAGAACGTGAAAGAAGCAGATGGTGAGGGTGCAAGGTGACGCGGGGAGGCCGGCCATCAGGGTGTGCAGGGGGTAGGCTGCCTACAAGTGGAAGATTCAAAGCAAGTCTTTGCTGTTCCTTTCCCTGTAAACCTTCCCAACCTTGCTTAGCAAAATTGATCTCTTCTACAGATTTTGACACACCTTGTAATCATACTGGTGTTGTTTGGTTTCAAGTCTGTGTCCCCTGTTTGAACTGAGCTTAAGGCCAGATGTCCTGATTGAACTGTGCCTGGCACAGACAGAGAGTGAACACAGTTAATTGTTCATTAAATGAATGAAGCTCGGAGAGGTGTGCTTGGCCGCGAAGCTCCGTGCCTTTGCTACTCCCTATACCACATTTCCCCTCTGGAAATTTTCTCTTGTGTGGCACCTTCAGGTTTATGGCTTTTCTCACCTGATTTTCCATAGATCAGTTAAGGTGGCTCCCCTATGGTCTCTAGCAAGCACCTCCCTGCAGTGCCCCGTTTCTGTTCACTTCTGCTGTCCAGCCTGCTCTGTGTGCTCACTTCCTCCCTCGTTTCCCGCCCTCAGCTCGCTCTCTCCATGTGTGCATTCGGCAGGACCCAGGACCAGCAGACGGACTTCTCTGCTGGCAGGTCATCCAGCGCCTCTCATTGGTCCTGTTAAAGGAGCATTACACTTTATTCATAAAATGGGTTGACATAAACACAAAACCACATTCCATAGCACAATGGCCAGCAGGAACCAGTCTGCAATAATAGCGATGTCTCTGCACATGGGTTTAGAGGCAGCACTAGGAGATAAAAAACGAGGTAGGTGTTGGCTTTCAATTGTACGTGGCACTGTCATAGATATCACTGCCAGTCCCTTTAAATCTAAATCCAAGCCTTCAGTCCATGTTAAACTAAGGAGCATTGAAAGCAGAGAAAATGATTCATTTTAGTGCAGATCTTCCTAACTATTCGATTATTCCACCCCCAAAATGAGACAGATGTCACCCAACCAGGCCTTAACAGAACAAAAGAATTTACAGGTCTGATTGTGCAAATGAAACTTGAAGCTATCACAAAAGATGGAAATGCCCTCTCCAGATGAGAAAGCAAATTGAAAATAACGCCGAGCGGAGGGCAGGAGAGGAGCTCTGCCTGAAACCTCCCCGCCCCACAGCCCGTGCTCAGTCTGCATGTCTGTGAAATGGAGACAAGCAGTGGCCCCTGTCTCACGGCAGAGGTCGGGGGGAGAAGGAGGGCCCAGCTCCCCAGGCATCTCCAAGCACAATAGAAAGAAAAAGCAAAGACTGCTACCCAGAAATGCTCTTTCAAAGATTCTTGGGTAGATTTCTGTAGATGCTCAAAGCTTTGTCCACACGTGGGGGATTTTTAAAGCCCCCTGTGGCAAAAACAAACAACTCAGTGTTTGATCTGCAGAAGAGAATAAGACCTCAGACCTTTGCTGACTGTCCCGGTGCTGTTTCAGATGTCGTGTGATATATAACTAAAAAGGCAAAGGCGCTGCAGAGGAGCATCACAGGAACCAGAGAGGCCGCAAGCACCAGAATAAACACAGTGCTGCTGAATTCTAATTTAGATTTTCCGTTTCCTCGTTGCTCTCCTTGGAAACCCACTTGGCCCGTCCTCCCTCTCTGCAGTGTGTAGAGAGAGAACAGGGCGCGAGTTGGGTGTCCTGGTCTTCCATCCAGATTCGGCCGTGCCAGGGTGACGTGGCAGGCCCAAGGCCAAGCCCAGATGGTAGGGGCTTCAAAGCCTGCCCACCCTCATCACCAGCACAGGCCTAGGAGTCTCCGCACCACGGGCTGTTTAAAGGGTGATTGGAGGGTTGAAAAGACACGAGCAACTGTAAGCACTCGAAGGAAGAGGCTATTAGAACCTCGCACTCCCTACCTTCTTCTGATTTCACAGAGAGAAAACCAGGTGCCATTTTGGGGGGTGACGGAGCAACGTAAGATTCAGAGAGGAAGGAAGTCCGCAGTGGAAACAAAATGAACAATGTAGACAACTCAACCAAAGAAATCCACTCTCTGCGTACCAAGAGGCAGAGCAGAATAGGCCATCCCAGAGCTCTGTAGTCAGATGACAAGACTGAAATGGTCACCTCGTCCACTCCACTACACGGCCAAAGGATGACAGGCGCGCACACACCCGCTCCACCAGTGAGCAGACAGTGACCCAGCTGGGAAGAGTAGCGGGGACAGTAGCTCTGGTCACACTGAGTGACCGCAGCAGCTGCAGCAGCAGCCACCACCGCAGACTTGGAGAACAATGATAAAGATGACCGGAAGAGGTAGCCGAGGTTGGAATACAGAGAGGCCACCGGGCCGTCCTGAGACTGTGTCAGAACACACTGCTCAAGTCTGCGAGGTGGCCGCCATCCGAGCCATAAGCGTCTTTCTCTGGCTGCATGAATACGATGCAGCTGTCTGTGCATGTGAGTCACCCTCTCTATAGAGAGCAGCCAATAAGCCCAGACACAGGACGAGGAGCTGCCCGTGGGCAAGGGAGAGAAGCCCTCAGCCCTCGCCCACCGTCCCCGGCACCACATCTCCAGCTGCTCACCTAACGCCCTTGTTAGGGAAGAAGATGCGATTTCCATGTTACCTCACTGCACTTTAAGAAATTTTGCAGGCTGTGAAAGTGAGGCTGGGACTGGCAGAGCATCTTGGTAAAGGTCATGGAGCCAGGCTATGCTGGTGCCCAGATGAAAACCAGCTCTGCCCCCCCTTGGCAGTACCTCTTGCTTAGGCACACTCTGAAACTCACCAAAATGGCAAAGAACATGCCCCAGAATAATGTCAGGTGAAACAAAGAAACAAGAATGAAAAACGTCCCGTTGAATGTTAACCCTAGTTATGTGAAAACATACATATATATACTTTTAAAATGGGACTAGAGGCAGCCAATATTAGCAGCAGTAACCACTGGATGGTGGGACACATGGTAATTTGCATTTCTTTGCTTTATGCCACTCTGTATTTTCGAGGTTCTAAATTGTAAGCAATCACATTTTTATGAGAAAAATAATTCAAAGTGTAAAATGTATTAATTTTATTAATCTAGAAAGTGCTTTATAGATCACAAACAAGTAAAAGTATCTATTGGTCAGAAATCCTTTGAGTTTCTGTACTAGACATGAGAGTTGTTAACAAAGACCAAGAGTACATCTCAACTACATCCCCTTTTGCCCCTCAACTCACTGTGTGTTCTCTCCCTGTGAATCAATAACATCTGACTCAACTAAACTAAGTCCAAAATCCTGAGCTATTTATAGACCAGGATGCGACCACTTACCAGTCTGCCTTTGACTACATCTTTAAATATACTATGCATTTTTCCATTTTTCAAAAATTATCTCATTTATTGGAGAAAAAAACAATCCTTTCAACAAATGGTGTTGGGAAAACTGGATACTCACATGCAAAAAAAAATGTCAAGTTTTCTCTTACCTTATGCTATATATAAAAGTTAACTGAAAATGGACCAAAGATCTATATGTAGGAGCAAAATTATGAAACTCTTAGAAGAAAATCATCATGACACTGAATTTGGCAATGATATTTTTAGATACAGCACTGAAAACACAGAAAATAACAGAAAAAAAATTGTTACATCAAAATTAAAGGAAACCTAACAAGTAAAAACGAATGCAGAGAATGAGATAAAACGTTTATAAATCATATATCTTAAAAGGTATTAATGGCCACGATATATAAAGAATTTCTATAATTCAACAACAAACTGCCAAAGGATTTGAATAGATATTTCTCCAAAGATATGTCCAATAAACACATGAGTCTGCTCAATATTACTAATCATTAGGGAAATGCAGATCCAAGTCACAAGGAGATATGATTAAGATGAGTTAAAATAAAATAAAATAAAAACAAGAAAGAAAGAAAATAGCAAGTGTTGGCAAGGATTAGAGTAACTGGATTCCTATACATTGTTGATGGGATGGTAAGATGGTGCAGCTACTATGGAAACAGCATGGTGGTTCCTAGAACAGTGGCCCAGTGCATTCACTTCTAGGTATATTTCCCAAAGAACTGAAGACAGGAATTCAAGCACACACTTGTACGTTCATGCTGCTAGAAGCATTATTTGCAAGAGCCAAAAGTGGGAAGCAACCCAAGTGTCCATGAATGATGAACGAAGAAACGAACTCTTGTGTATACATATGAGAGAATACCATTCAGCCCTTAGGAGGAAGGAGATCCTGGGACCTGCAACAACAGGAAAGAGACAGAAGACATCACGCTAAGTGAAATAATAAATCATCTCAAAATAAAAGGCATTTTATGATTTTGCTTATGCAACAATGTGAATATCCTTAATTCTGTGAAATGTAAACTTAAAATTGTTAAAATGGTGAATTTTATGCAATGGACATTTTACCTAATTTAAAAGAACTCTCACTTGTTCCTGCCTTGTATATCCTCACTCCTTTAGACTGAAATGTCCCTGCCTTATCTCCAGCTTTGGAAATTCAGTCTCCTAGCCAAGACCTCTGACTAAACATTTCCCCTTCCCTGAACAACATCTCTATCCTCTGCATCCTAATTACAGTCCAGAATTATCCAGGTGCCTCTCAGAGCACTTTTTATATATGTTATCCCTTGATACACCAAAGGCTTTACAAAATCCATTTCAAAATACAAAATTAACTTAAGTCACACAAAGTGCCAATGTCAAAACACTGGTCAGGGCTGAGCATCCAGTCTGTTATTTCCAGTTGGTTTATTTTTTCCCCTGTGTGAGTGCATGTGAGTTGCTGGGGATCAAGCCCAGGGCTGTGTGCATGCTCCACAAGTGCTCTACCCCTGAGGTTCGCCTCCTGCCTACAACTTCCAGTTTTAAATGGAGCTGCCCAAAGATGACTGCATCTAATATTTTTCTGCATTAAGTAGGCACAACTTTGAATTAATTCTTATTTATAATTTTTTTTTTGTGTGTGTGTGTATGTGTATCTTTACTAGGCTATAAACTCTTTTAAGACCAGGGACCAAGTTCTAAACATTTTTGTAACCCTAGCAATCCCAAGATACGTTCAATTGTTCTTCATGAAATCAATGAAATAATAATCTGTGGGTGATTTATGTAATAACAGAACAAACACTACTAACCAAGAGCACATCAACAATCCAGAATTGAAAGATACAAACATCAAAGACAGACTCTGTATTTCCAACTGATACCAAAGTTGCCCCGATTGACCGGATATTCAACCAGTTAATTCACGCGGAGCAGGCAGTGCTGTACAGAGCCATCAGACTGGCCTGGGTGGAGTAGTGCCCAAGGTCTGCGTTAGCCTCAGCTCTGCCATTTCTTAGCTGTGCTATTTGGGCGGTCCTTCTCAGTGTTTTGATAGGGTTAGTGCCACATTCTCACTCACTCATTTCTGCAGAAGAGTTTATCCTGTTTCCACTTGAGAAAGCTCAAAGAACCAGCATTTTACATTGTTGGTGTTTTACTTAGCTACTTTGCAGCTATGACTAAAGAACCTGACCAGAACTATTGTAAAGGAGAAAGAGATTATCTGAGGGCTCCCAGTTTCAGAGGTCTCAATCCAGAGACAGCAGGCTCCATTCCTCGGGGCTCAAAGTGAGGCAGAACATCATGGCAGAATGTGTGGCAGAGGGAAGCAGTTCACGTGATGATCAGAGAGCAGAAGGGCAGAGACTCCACTCACAGATACCCCAGAGCTACACCCCCAATGAACCACTTCCTCTCGCCACACCCCACCTGCCTCCAGTTACCACTCAGTTAATCTCATCAGGAATTAATTTAGTGATTAGGTTAAAGATATAACCCAATCATTTCTCCTCAACATCTTCTTGCAATTGTCTCACACGTGAGCTTTTGGGGGACGCTGCATATAAACCATAACAGCTGGTTTAATGAAAAAGCAGTATCTGCCCTTGACGATTCATCCACACTTCTTGTTCATTTCCGATGGTTCTAGCCCAATATATTTCACTTTGTAGCTGATCTCTACATTGGACTTGGAGTAGTACCTTGGTCTCTTTGCTGTTCCACATTTAACACTTGCGTGAGGATTAATGACAAATGTGTAGTATTAGCAGCATGCTATATTTACTGATAGTATTGCCCGCAGCTTCTAGACACATAGATTTTATGTTTAATTATTTTACTAGTCTCCAAATATTGCCAGTTCCTATCATTAGCTCCTATTATTCTCTTTCAATAATTACACTCTAATTGATCTTATACTCTTGAGAAGAATAAAGATTGCGGAACTCAGTACCTGTCAAGTACATGGCGCTTCAAGGACAAGCCATGGTCGAGTGCTGCGATCCGGGGACACAGGAGTGATCCCACACCAGGACCAAGCCTTCAGCCCAACACAGGCGGCCTTCCTCTTAGGTGCCAGTCTTTGAGGTGCCGCCAGGTCATCAAAGTGTTAGGTGTTTTTAAAGGACCCCTGGGGTCCACAGGTACCTGCCAGGTGGTGCTCCTGAGTGTAACACTTTGCTTGTCTTGAATAACCACGTTGGGACAATAGGATCTGGCTCAGAAATGGTGCAGGTCCACTGCCAGGTTCAAGGATGCGGTTTCTCCAATTAGCTAAAGGTATTTTCTCTTTATGCCGAACCCTTCTAGCTCTGTAACATAGTCCAGGAAATCAGTGTGGGCATGCCCAAGAGGCAGAGGGAGAGCAGGAATGCCAGCCAGCACCATGAGACTGTCCTGCTGCCCAGCTGCCCACGGGACGCCCACCAGGGCACGCGCTCGGCCCATTGCACGTGTCCTGCCGCTGTTCCGAGGTAATTGCTCTCCAGGCCTACATTAACCTCGTTCCTTCACACGAAGCCAGGCAGCCACTGCACACCGAGGAGGGCTAATCTTGGCTTAGGAAATAACAAAGGTCTTTTTCTGTTTCGTAGCCAAAACGACTGGAACTCAGGCAAGATGAGGGGAATGTACTTTAAACAATTTGTAGCTATTTTGCTTGATTTTCCCTTGAAGCAATAAATAACTGCGCTCCCTGCTGCTGGCATTTTATCCAGCTCTGTTTGTTATAAGTGTGTATTATGTTCCATACAAGACAGCATCTCCACGCTTTCTTTTCGAGTTTCTCTACTGCAATTTAACTCTGTGAGGAGCAATACCAATGTACCACCAGAAAGAAGGAATCACAGAACCTGCTGCTAAGTACCACCACCTGCATGCAGAACGCCCTATTAGCAATAAATGAACGCCAACTTGGTTTCTTTAGCATAAATTACTGTGGTGAGAAAAAAATAAGTGGGAGCCTCTGGATTAACCACCGATCCCCCCCCACTAATAATGACCTTTGCTACTGAGAACAACAATACAAGAGAAAATCATCTCCAACGTACAACACCCAGGCTTTCCCGCAACCACCCACTACCTTCTGGACACAGAGGCTCAGAATATGGAAGAGGAACTGTGAAAACAGCCCTATTCCTTTTTTATTGAGTAGGATCTGGTTTGTTTTTCTATAAAAAGCAGAGGAATCAAGAAATAGTATCCCATTGATGTCTTGATGATACAAGTTGCAACTGACCAGAATCACTGATTGTCAAATCAGGAGACCTGTGACATGGAACTTGCCTTATCGTCCCCAAAGCCTGTACTCCTAATTGATAATAACAATAATAAAGATTCTACTGTCACACTCATGTTCATGTTCAAAGCAGTTTTAATTTCCATTTTTCCATTTGATCCTTAGAAAACTGAGATGAGTAGGTAATTATCTTCCTCACTGCTATCACAAATGGATCACTGATGATATAAAACTCCTCTGGTACTTCCCTTTTCCTTTCCGGAAAACAGGGTTTTGCAAAGCTTTAACTATTCATTGGGCCTGTGTTAATCCAAATCACTAAGAAAGAATAAATGGCAAAGCACTGTTCAAAGGCAGCAGCAGGGTGTCTGCGTTTCACACTCCACAGCCTATCTCCCTTCCACTTAGGAATTTTGTTTAAATGAATTAGAGCAAAGGAAGAAGAGCCGTCAACGCTGTAACCGAGGCGTGTGGATGAGTGCTCTGTCTACATGTACTCACAGCCACCAGCAGGCACAGGGCACGGGGCCTACAATCCATATCGTCATCCAAGTGCTGACAGGACCACCCCAGCCAGGAAGAATCCACCTCACCGGGGAGGGGAGGGGGGATAGTAGGGGACAGGAAAGGTAGCAGAATACAACAGTCACTAATACGCCATTATGTAAAAACGTGAGTGTGTAACCGATGTGACACTGCAATCTGTATTTGGGGTAAAAATGGGGGTTCATAACCCAATTGGGTCAAATGTATGAAAGATGATCTATCATGAGCTTTGTAATGTTTTGAACAACCAATAAAAAAAAAAAAAAAGAAAAACCAAAAAAAAAAGGCAGGAGGCCCCGGAACCAAGGAGCAAGGTGCTGCTGCAGTGAGGAACCCCAGCAGCTCAAAGCCAACTTTCTTCTTTGCATGCTAACCAGCAAGCCTTATTGTAAAGCCAAATAAACTTGAGTGGTGGGGGAAATGCTCTCCATCTGCAAGTCCCAGGGGCTCAGTCAACGTTTTCATATTAATTAGAATTTACAGAGGGAGTCGTTAAACTTAGAAATTTTAAGGCATCATTCAGTACATGATGTTATAAAGCATGCTATGACATTAAAAGTAATATAAATAAAGGAAATGCAGTCCACAGAAGGAGCATTTGGGTAATTATTACATCTCTTTCCATCCAAATTTTTGAAATGAAATATAGTCCTTCCTCACTTCTTCTGCAATCAATCATTTACAAAAAGTAAGTGGTTTCACAAATAAATGGCTGTATCTATGACTACCCTCCCCCAATCAATAATACATTTATTGATAATTCTGCATTTAAAGGTTCATTTCACCTTAGTATTGACGTTCTGTCTCCCCTGCCATTTCATTAGATTTAAAATTTTTCATTCTTAATAATGAACTGGGAGAAAGTTGCTATGTTAGAAGGTGGCCCCATTTTACAGTTGGGCAACGCAGCTCAATATATCATTTTCTATTAATTACTACAGTCAGTAAAGTTGCTTGCTTGTCTGCTCAGCGAAATGAAAGTTAGGAGTCTTTGGCTTTGTCTTGTAAGGCAAGAATTCCAGGATCCTCCTCAGCGGCTCTAAAAATGGAACAGAGCGTGAAAACCACTTAGGCTGAGCCTTCAGACCAGAGGAGCTAGTTCAACAAACCCAAAGGACACCGGCTGGA